CGCGCGTACATAAGTTACACGCATCCATTTTTTCTAGTTATATTCTCTTTAGATTTAAACATCAAGCAGTTACATGCGTATATGTGTATTTTTAAGCATTTAACTTTTTCAAAAAAACATTAGATTTAAATATGTAAGTATTTAACATTCATGTCTTATTTTATGAAAATTATCAAACACTAGCGGTCGCCCTTCGGCTACGTTCGCGTGAACTTCAGTTTTTTGAAAATCATATCATTTATATGCCGACCAAATATCATATTTATAATATAAGACAATAATGCCCACTTTCACCAAAGTTCTTAATTCTAATTTCAAAGCTAGTCAATGATTAAGCCTCTTTATATCTCTATTTAACTTTAAATAAATGAAAAAGATGGATTGATGTACAGGAATACCTAAGCCTTAATTTGAATTAAGAACTTTGGCGCAATTTGGCTCAAGATAACTGTCAAATCTTTTTCTTATATACACAAAGTGCAAGTCGTTCCTTAAATACCTACATACTATTATATAGGCAACACAGGGGGTAGTCGCCTGTGCTTGCGCATGAGTGAATACCCTTTTGCGAACTCGGACGGTCTACGTAGTAGGTAGGGCAGCACCTTGCTTTCCACCGGCCGAATGCAGCATGCTGGATCATGCGTCCTCGGGCGTATGATGTGGCGTGCACAATGCATTTTTTCTCCCCGTCATCGAAAAAAAACCAAAGATCTTGTAGCGTTACAATCTTGGCTCTATATGAGCTGATAACTTTTTGGTATGAGTCACATGGTCTCGTCTTGGCAACATTTTACATGAAAACATTGTTGGTGGGATTAGATATTGTCTACTCAGCGAGGCAACCACATACAAATCCCTCGTGGGGCGTCAATTAAAGTCATTGAAATTATTATCAAAGACGCTAAAGCTACCTGCACATGTCTAAATAAATGCGAAAGTGACTTTCTTTGTGAGTTTGGTTGTTTTTAAGGCTTTCGCATCTGAATCGCTCAGGCGATTATTATGAATTTTGGCATAGACTTACTTACATGACAGTTTTGAGACGGTTTTAGCTGACTTACATGCGATGAAAGTTTGTATGGGAGACCTATTTTTCCACGCAGACGAAATTAGCACCCGCTATTATACACAGTTTGCTATGATTATAAACTTGTCAAATATCGAATTTTCATTCCATATATAGCGTGATAGTAATAATAATTGTTTATTCCAGGCATAAAAAACCCAATAAAAAGTCATATACAAAATTAAAAAAAGTAAAAGTGTAAACAAAATAATAATAATAAATAAAATAAAATCATAAAAGTAAATAACAGTAAAAGTCAAACAGGCATAATATTACCTACGTCATTTTCGGTTCTCACTCTAGTGCACTGAAATCCAGTATTTGAATAAAGGATTATCAAGTCCTTTGCATACAGTTTTGATTATGCTGTTATCAGAAAGACATATTTGTGACCAAAAAGAGGCTATACGTCTTCTCATAACAGCATAAAAGTCTGATATACGAGTATCTGAAAACATGCCCGACGCGCTACAGTATCTCGGTAGGCTCATAAGAATACGAAAAGCATCATTGTATTGCACTCTTATGGAACGGTACGAGCTACGATTAAAGTCAACTCATAGCTGGCAAGTATAAAAACATTGACAGTATAGGTTAAACAACATGAATTTAACCTCATCACAACATTTACCAAATTTTCATAGAGCATATTGCACCTCACTGATAATGCCCGCCTCTCTCGCTCAATATCGAGATCGTCTCTTCCGTTCTCTGTAAGGATGTGCCCGAGATACCTAAATTGCTGTACAACCCGAAGCACCGAACCATTCAACCATACATCAGGTACGTTCTCCGGACCCTGTCCCCTGTCTTTGCAACATTCTATTTCAACTCGTGAGCATTAGCATAATGTTCACAGATCGAAACTAGTTTACGGAGACCTCTGATTGAGGGGCTGAGGAGCACCATATCGTCTGCATAGCTTATATTATTTACACATAGATCGCCAATATGACAACCGATACCAGTGGCCCTCAGCTCACCAATCAGATCATTAATATATAAATTGAAGAAGTCCGGAGAAGTCAACCCCCCTTGGCGTACCCCGCACTCTAGCTTATAGCTGCTAGAAGTCGTGTCGCCCCATCTCACACTATTAGTTTGATTTCCGTACCAGTATTCGAACAGTGCTACAACTTCCTGGTGAACATTAGTGTGGCGCAGTTTTCTCCAGAGAACTTCATAGTTCACAAGATCAAATGCGCGGCTCAGATCAAGAAAACATGCGTACACAGACGTTTTACGGCGTCTGTAGTAGTCAACAGCATGTTTTACGGTCAATATAGCTGAATCTGTAGAGAGACCGGCACGGAAACCAAACTGGGCGTCGTCAATCTCAATGTTTCTCGAAACCTCGGGCTGCACAAGTCGTTCGAGAACCTTACCTATTACAGTCCCCAGAGATATTAGGCGGTAATTGTTGGACGCGCTCACATCCCCCGTTCTATTTTTAATAATTGGAACTATTATCGTTTTCATTAAATTATTTGGGAGATACGAGTACTTGAGACACATATTAAATAACTTAGAGAGCTTAGAGCAAAGCATACCGCCTGCGTGCAATAAATGCTCAATGCTCAGCTCGTCATGACCTGGTGATTTACCTCGCGCCATAGAGGTTATAACTTTAACCACGTCTTCCTCACTAAAGCGAATGGTAGTTTTCGGACAGACAGCTACCCTACCAGACTTGTTCGAAGTGAGCAAGCATGAAACAGGCAAGGGAGCAGTTTTAAAATTTTCAGCAAATAAACTAGCTATCTGGACCTTATTCTGCAAGCCGTCGACGCAATTTCCAATAATTAAAGTGCAGGCGGTATGTGACATGCAATTCTTTTACTTGATAGTTCCAACCTATGACTGGACGTTTTTTCAATGCACCAGAGCGACACTCTGCAGTCAATTTAGCACCTGTTTGTAATACTGTGACAATATCATCATAAAAATTATTTATAAACATACGATGCTCGTCATAATCAAAACATTCGCAAATATCATTACTATCACAGTACGTGCACTCAATGAGATCTTCGATACCGCGCAGGGCCTTATTACAGTACTCAAAATATTTTAACACTTGATTATTGTCTCTATTTCCCCATCGCACTCCTCGATGAGGACCTAAGACACCAATATCACTCGTTTCGCTCTCCTTAACGAACATCACATATAATACGTAGCGGGAGATGGTTTGACCAAGATACATCATACATCACACTGACAGAGTCAACAGTTTCCCACGCTACCGCGGTTGTCACACAATGATCAAGCCACCTCACAGTTCCGTGACTCTCACTAACGAAGGTGAAAGTTGCAGAATCAGGACCTAATTTTAGCACATCTGCACAACTCCATCCTTCCTCCTCGCAAAAGTTTAGCATTTCGCGACCGAAACTGGAACCAGGATGCGCGTTAAAGTCACCCAATACGTATACTACTTGCACGTTACTCTCTTCCACTATTGAGCTTATTATTCCCAAGCAGGTCGTAAATTCACACAGGTTGTCTGGATGATCGGTTGGCATGTAAACATTAATAACTAAAAATTAGCTCTTATCAATTTCTATACGTATAGCACCCACTCTATCGGATGCACTGTTTATTACAGACACGCTAGGGAATATCGATTTCCTCCACAAAAGTGCAAGCCCGCCATAGGGTCTTCCTCGAATGCGCCCGTCGTGGTGTCTACAGAGGACGTCGCGGTACATCCGAACCGATTGTCAACATTCTGGACAAACGCCAGGTCGTGTGGCATCAACCACGTCTCCTGTAAGGCGATTATATCAGCCTCGGAACATAAATCTCTAATAAAGGGAGCTGACCTTTTAATCGATTTACAATTAAAGGATACGATGATAGGGATATACCGTTTTCAAGTTTACAAATAGAAAATACTAAGAAGAGCTATCTTGAGATAAAAAAATGAATAAACAACACTTATATAGCCACACCTCAAAAACTGACGCCAAATTTTGTGTTGGTTGGGTCTAAGATATAATCCGAAAAAAAGGGACAGCCCAACAGTTTCAAAATATGCCATGTTCTGTCCGTTGATTGACTTTGTTAAGCTGTTTTCTTTCTTTCACTCCCAGACTCCCAGTGCAGCATGGGGGAGTTCAGGTTTAGTATTATACTAATAATAAAGTAAAAAGAAGCGTTGTAACTTAGCTGGTGAGCTGTGGTCTTTATTATTTTAAAAAGATGACCCAGTAGTTACTTTTGCTTCTATTTTGCCAATCGAATCGAGCGAAAAATCTGCTCATAGCTTCTACACTTACCCGTCTTTAATACTAAAATCAGATATTTTTATGCGCGGTACATTTTGTGTTTTGTAGGTTTTAATAGACTGTTCAGTTAGATTCTAATTGTCACTGAACAGTCAAACAAACCTCGGTGGAAAAGCGCTTTTTTCGAGGACGATTGAGATGAGATGATTTTGGAATTCAATATTCAGTTTAATATTAAGCGACATGCAATAATCAGTAGAGTTTTCGTGGAGTAAGTAATCTCTCCAATATATATTATTTATTCTCTCCATTATATATTCAGAAAACAAGCACAAGCAAAGGACCTTTACAATAAATTCTTAGCTAAATACAATATAAACTATAATAAGAAACTCTTTCGGTAAATCAATAGCGATAATTCCTTGTATTTCCTCTGAGTAGGTACCGAACTTTCTATAGCATACGTGCTTTGACTAAAAAGCTCTCTCTTACATATAGCCATGTTTTTATTTTTAAGCAGTACTTCCCTGACTATTGTTATTATCACGATCTTACTGCGAGTTTACGATCAGAATATGTAATTTTGGGATCTTATGAATAAATGAATCAACCTACATATTATTGTTTGTTATCAGGGTTTGGTATGCGGGCACTTACTTGTCTATTGAAGTTTAGATAGTAGGTATCAATAGTAAAACCTATGTGTCACACATTGCAATACAAATAGCAGATGCTTCTTCATACAACTTGCCAGTGTAACATTCGCGTTGACTATTCAACATGTCTCGTATTAGCGTTGTTGTGCTGTCTCTTTGTTTAGTACTTGCCATAGAATACGTCAATCCGTCTGTTATTACAACGAGGGACGTGAAAGTTGGGGATACGACAACAAGTGAAATCGCTCAGGCTCAGGATGAGGAATCGAAAGATAAAGTAGAAGATGTCCCAGTTGAAGTACCACCAAAGGCGACCAATGAGAAAGAAGAAAAAAAGTGTGCGGCTGTAGCGGAATACGTAAGTACTGCATAAAAGTTGATGTGGATAAAAAGAATAATAATTTAAAATAAGTTCAAAAAATCAATGTAGCTTTTCATAAGAGGACTCTCCATTGCAATAGTTTTCTAATTTTGTTTTTGACTTTTTAGTTCAGTTTTCAGCAGGGCAGTCATGTTTTTTAGAATAAATTTCGTATGTAGAAATCAAAAACAAGTTCAATAATTTCAGTGGAACCATGGGAACCTTGATTTATTTCTATGGTGGAAATTCTTGGGTTTAGATAAAAAGTTTTCCTTATATAGGTCACCCTACCACATTGTTTTTTTATCTGCTTTTGACTGGAGTTTTATATTATTTCTTTTCTTAAATCATGAATTACAAAGGCACTTTAGCCTGTCTAGTACCTACCAAGCGTAGGTTAGGTTAGGTAAGTTAGGTAATATATTATCATCACTGAAGATTCGATTTACGTTGCTGTGTGAAACACAAAACCTTGTTTTAACAGAAATAATATTCCTCTTTAGTTTATTACTTATTTACCTGAAACCTTGTCATTTATTGCTCGAGGCAGTTTTTTATTGACCCAGCTCATGCTGCGATTATAGATACACGAGCGATTTTGTATAAGTGAATCAAAAATCAACTTACTTTTTCTACTTCAGCCAAGGCAGCACCTAATAGTTTTGTTTTTACAAACAAAAAGTAGCCTATGACCGAGATTCCCTTTATCCGAATTTTTTTTATCATTCAGAGTAGGAAAACGTTGTATTAGACAGACTTTTTTACGAGTTTACAATTATAATTATGGGTTGCTATTGTTGCAGTGTGTGAACCACAGCGATTGCTGCAGCAACCTCTGCCTGTCATTCAAGAGGAGATGCGTATCAGGAACTGGATAAAAATACCTATTATAAAATACAAAATCGTTTCAACTTAACTCTTTATTATTAACTATGCTTAGTTGTATGTTATTAATTATTTTCATCACTCTATGAAGCAACATTTTTCAGTGTATTGTTATTGTCCTAACACAAGGATGTGCCTATTTATTTGCCTTTCTAGCTGGATGTATGGGATGGTTAAGATGCGTCAGGTCGGGTGGGTTTTCAGCGAAATGCTGGATTTCCTTCATAGCATCAGCAGATATTTTCCATAGATCTGGATAATCCTTTTTGAAATCGTTGTACCATTTGTGTATCTGTAAATAAATATGTATGTGAAATGAGATTTCTTTTTATTACGCACTTAACTATATTGTTTCCTCAAAAGTTATTACCATACTAATTTACATAAACACTGTGATGCAACACCTATCTAAACAACAAAGGGAAAGCAATGATCAAATTAGAAAGTTTGACGATAACAATAATATACCAAGGTTATAATACGACAGCAGGATTAATTCCAGAAAAAGTAAGTGGCCTATCGTAGTATATTGGTCCACATCTAGTCTTTCTTAAAATAACATCATTACTATCAGAGATCGTAGAGACCCTAATGGTAATGATGCTTATTAAAAGTTTTTATAAAACTACTCTAATCCTGTCCGCCCCATCTTTTGGAAGTGCTCATGTCCACCTGATAGTAATTGATCACTAGTCCATCAAGTGGCCTATAGACACTTGCACCACCAAAGCACAGTTTTGTTTTTCACGTAAAGTTCATGTTTTTATATAAAAATAAGTATGTTTTAAATGTGTCCCTTGATCAATTTCAGCGATAAGCAGAAGAGGGAAACTTTTAGGTAAAAAAAAACATTGTGCAAAGGTATGGCTGACTCAGTGTTTCAGAGGCAGTTACAGAAGTCTGTAACAATAACTAGGAATACGCATTCATACAACTTACCCTTTTATATTGACTAAAGTCGAATCCGATAGCCTCCAGGGTCATGTTGGTGTTGATGAGCTGGAAGTCAGCGATGGTGAGGTGGTCGGCAGCAGCGTACTGGGTGCCCTGTCTTTGGAGGTACGTCTCAAACACCTCTAAGGCCATGTGCACTTTCTTCAGCCCTAGGGGCGTGCGGTCGTAGTCGTAGAATATGGGCGCCATCTGTGAAAGTTCAATTATTCAATTGTGGTCTACTGTACTAGGTTTTCTTATGGTACATTATAATAGTTTTTCTTTTTTAACCGACATCAAAAAGAAGGAAGATCTCAATTCGACAGTATTTTTATTATAACGCTATGTTATGTTATTCTGTGACGAAATAGTGGTAACATGTAATTTGGTGAAGATATGAGTACTTTCGGAGAAAACAATGGACTATACCTCAATTATAAACAGTAGGTACTCAATTCGTGTTTATTCGTTATTTTGAGAGTATGAAAGAAATAATGCAGGCCAGGTTACATATACTAAGTAAGTTGATATTACCCTGACTTAAAAAAAGTGGAAAATATGGATAGGAGAAGGTAATAATATTAATATATTATACGAAAATATTCAATCCAAAAACAACCCAAAAAATAAAATTAACTCTATACGTTTGAGATTTAACAGTCCCTTTACAAGAAATGAGGTAAATAAAAATCTCGTACATTTTGTGATGACGCACATAATGAAGCTGTACTTAATGAGTCGATCCTTTGTCGACTGGATATTTATTGACTTTCTGATAATATTTTTGGTTTGTGTACTATGTTGATTGTTTGTGTCATAGAAACAGTTAACATTGTTCGTATCTCATATCAAAGTGTACGAGATTTCTATTTACCTCGTATCATGTATAGGGACTACTAAATCTCAAACGTTAGAATTGTCATACGTGCGGCAACTCCTACACACGCCGTCTGACCGCACCTATACATAACAAAATACATCCACACAGTTAATACAAAGGTAATAACGTAACGCACTTTTTCTTAGAAATGTTGAAGAAAACGGCATATTACCTATTTCCAAAAAGAATAAAATTATTGAAGAAGAACTAAAAACATATAATTATGGAGTAATCATATGAAAAAATAGAAGCCTGTTATTGATGTGTAACATCTTTCCTCTCGCTTTCCTGCAATTTGTGGGAGTGATTTGGTGAAATGGGACGGAATTGTGTAACAGAAATCGCGAAAGCGCGCGCTATTTGATTTGATTTTAGAACATAATGTTCAAATGGCTTATTCCTTTTGTAGTAGGTTTTATTTCTTTTTTTAATAATATAAGAAGAGGTTTTCCAATATTACACATCTTACGCAACTACTGTAAGGCTCGCTCGTTTTTTTACCTACTTATTGATCCATACTAACACACACTAATATACTAACCGTGTATGCAGAGATGTTGGCATAGTATGTTGATAGGTTGAAGCACAAGCGATGGTTCACAATGGCTCTGGAAAAAATAGTACCTTTTTTATTACTCAGTACGTACATTGGGAATTTGCTTTAAACTATTAAAATAATTTATGCTCAGCAGTGGGCGTCATACTACTGATATGATATTGCAATGTTGTTACTTTATATTCTTATCACCCAGTTGGAACTGCAAACGAGGTCAGGACAGTGGATTGTAGGAGCATTGCTCTTAATTTTCTACAAGAAAAAATATGAATCCTAAATGATCTTTAAAAAAAACTAACGAGAGGGAATACAATCGCCACGCTAATCTGAAGGTCAGATTGAGTTGAAACTTGATATTCATTTGCTTTGCCTTCAGTATATCTTGCTTAAATCATATTTGACAGTCACATCACAATTTATATAACGGAAGCTATGTCTCGATTATATTTAAATTTATTCAAGAAATACACAGAAAAAAAAATATATCAACCAACATCACAGAAATAATTCAACATGATTTTAGACCATTTAGATCGTAGTAGATAATGTGCATGTATGCATGTGTGAAGGGCTCAGATTAATAAAACAAAAAGGGAAGATACCCCAACTAGCACATAAGGGATAATTGTAGCTAAGTTTATAACTAAACGATCTTTAAAGACGCTATATGGGTGGCAAAAGCAGCGTTCTGCTGCTTTGGAGTGGAAAAAATGAGTTAAGTGTACAAAATGAACTCTCGGTTGTTTAATTTAATTTGAAAACACTTAGAGGAATAAAGCCGCGGATTTTGCAGCCATTTTACCACTCAAAGCCGCATTAGTGTTAAACATGCTACTTGTAATCGTAAACAATGTCTTATTATACCCGTTATATATCCAATAGCCGCAAAAGACAAGCAATAATTACTATTATGCAAACATAGTCTAAAGGACGCAAAATCAACTATTTGAATACTGAAGTATGTATATGGATGAAAAAAGTAATGTTTGTGCCACTATAGGTAATTAAAGAAATTTAATACTCTCTTTTTTGTACCTAACAATCGCAAAAGAGTAGTAGTGTAAAGTGTTAAAGAGTTTGTGTTTGTATCATAGCTTTAGTACTCGCATTATATTGCGTCAGTTAATTACTTTTTAATTATTCTTAACGTCAAACATGGATAGTTGCCAGTGGACAAACCTTAAACGAAGTGGTGGCTATAGGCGGAAAGTTTTAAAAGCTTACAAAAAATTAATCATCTTGATGTGTCTGATACCAATTCTGCACGAGATCTCAACCCTGATAAGTAAATCATATTTTAATTGAATATGTAAGCATACAAAAGTTCTGATATAAATTAATAACCTTTTTCATAATGTGGCGTATGTTGACCTGTTACAGTAAGCCAACTGATGAACCAACGACAATACAAGTTTAAGAGGATGAAAAGGAGGGTTCCGTAGAAAATACTAAATTCGAAATTAAAGAAGTTACCCCTGATTTCAGCTTTGAAAGGTTATATATAATGAGATAATGAGCTTGTTTCGTCATAAAAAGTATAAATTTTTACTTAGAAATAAAATGTTACAATTTCTGTGTTAATATTATACGACTTTTATTTAAAATTTAATTAACAAATTATCACACATATATCAATAAATATCTATCGGGATTTACGAACAAAAATGAATACCAATATGTACTTTTCCGGTGTTTTTCTGAGTTGTATATGTTTTATATACAATTCAGAACTCAGAACAAGGGTTTTTGTTTTTGCCAACTGATCCCTTATCTGGTTGTGTTGCATATCTAAAAGAAAGCAAATTGTAACTAAAGGTTATTAATTTTACTCAAATGGCCCTTGATTAAAACACATAGTAATAAAAAAGTAATTTTTAGCACTTTGGTCTTTATAGAGGAAGCAAACTGGTTAAAATTATAACTAAAAAATACATTTCGTCTCGCCATCTTTTAACGGGAAGGTTTGATAAAAACGAATGTTTATTTACATATTTTATACCAACTACGTTTGATTTGATAACTGATAAACAAATTTTAAAACTATGCCTAGTCAAAGTATAATAAATACTTGTAATACCACTTTTCTCCTTATCAAATTTTGTCAAAACTATTTTAAATGTTTTTTATTTAGATTATTTTTGGTCAAAAGTCTCATTATACAGATGGCGCGTGAAAATTCACATATAAAACACATACACTTTTGTCAGTAAAACTATGTCCTCACTTAATTTATCAGTGCAGTTTATTTAGAAATGCAAAATATAAATTATTAGCACTTACATTTTATTGTTTCGTAGATGTCACTTAACTGTCACACGATTCACCATTGCTCGTAAGTTGTTTAGATCAATAAATATATCAAAGCGTAAAAAAATGACATTTGAAATGAACGAATTCAATCTCGTTCACTCAACCGTTCATTTTTTAACGTGCCTATTATGGGCTATGAGAGCTGCTATTTGCACCTTTAGGCACAATTGGTTACGCTCCAGACTTGTTATGCGATGTGCCCACTTAGTGCCATATCGGTTGATTTAGGGGTCTAGAGCAGTATATAGACCTCGCCTTTAGCAACTATGAGTTACAATTAGATACGCTCCAAAGCCTATATGCAACCGATTTGTGTTAGTTGGGACGGGTCGCCTATACTAATATCAAATAAAATATGCTCCGACTATAGTTATAGACGATAGTATAGTTGTACCATTACATACACCATGACTACATAGGTAGGTAACAAATATCATAATTTTTGTGCTCATCACATACAAGTGACCCGTCTAGCCCCGCCTGGTGGTAAGCGGCCGCCATACTTACGCCGTTGCTGATCCTGAACCCATCTCCTAACCCTTAGAGCACTGGAATCTTACTCACCGACAGAAGCACAACACCTCGAAAAGGTAGTGTTATCTTATGTCAGACGGAAGTCTCAGTAGAATGGAAAATCTGCTCTCGCCTATTCCTCTTATACTTATAGGAGGAGCAGACTGAAAGGTACCATTATCATCGAACAATGAGGACAAAGTAACGTTCGGAGATCAAAAGATATTTGGCAACTAATTGTCGGTCGTATGTTACGGATTCAAATACAATAGATGTTTTGGTCACCCATCCAATGACCGACCACTGCGAAAGTCGCTTAACTTCAAGCATCGCAGCCGAACGCGCTGTACGTGGAAGAAGGTAGGTATAACTACCTTGCTTTGGGCTCCTGTGGGTAGAGATGTGAGTCAGGCTTGTATTTGTCGCAGATGTACTGCAGAATGGCGTTACTCTCGCTCAAGAAGAAGCCGTCGTCATCCAGTACTGGGATCTCCTTTTGAGGGTTCATCTGAAATTGTATGATAGCAATCTTATGATGTATTGGATCTATTACACTACTGCCAAGAAAAGAAAAAGATTGTAGGCTGTAGTAGGTAATATCTTCAGAGTTCATTATATGTACGTAAATATCTAATGTACGAGTATATATGCGCTTTTAACCACGTCACGTCCTATTAGCGGAATATCCAGTCGATTCCTTAGGTCTATTTCCCTGAACGTTCATTCCACGAATGTCCATTTACCTGAATGTCTACTTTCCGCCATAACTTCGAAATGCCTGAACAGATTAAAATGTATAGCTAGAAACTGTACATTACTGGCGGCTTACCTATCACCAAAAATATTATCGAGGATGTGGTGGATATTCCGAAACATCTCAAAATTTAGACTTTGGTTTCGGTAGTCTACCCCATCATACTAGTCTGGCCATAAAAGTAAATCGATAGATTTTTAAAAAGAAAGACTTTTATTGGCCTTGGACGCTGAAAACAATAAAGTCAGTAGGAGGCTAGTCTGTGCCCTCAGGCTGCGTAACTCACGGAATAGACAAAAACGGTTGTATTTACAGTAAGTGCAACGTTTTTTGTCAATTCCGTGAGTTACGCAGCCTGAGGGCACTGACTAGCCTCTAGCCTTCCTGACTTCATTGCTTAAGCCACCTAAGTACAGATAACTTCATTAACTTAATCGAAAAAGTAAAGAACAGTACCCCTAGCACGAACCATTATCGAATTCGAATGGTTTGCGAGTGCGAAATGTCAATGTCAAATTATGTATGGAAACTTGAACAGCAGCGCCACAAAGTGCGTAACGAGAACTAAAAATCAGTACACATTTGATAATGACATTTCGGACTCGCAAACTATTCGAATTCGATAATGGTTCGTGCTAGCGGTACTGAGAACCAATCACGAGATTTTGACAGCTCCGTAAAGTATCGTCTTTGTTAAATTTTGTATGGAAAGATATAGTTTATTCACGTCCGGTAGGGGCGCTGCTTAGTTTTCATAGAAACTTTGACGATGCAATACGTTACGGAGCTGTCAAAGCTTGCTTGGGCCACGGATAGCTTTTCTGAACGTTACCAGTGCGTACTCCGTCGTCATGTGTTCGCCCGCTCCGTAGTCGACGCTGACCAGTTCGAACGGCAGCTGCAGATGTGCCAGGGCCTGCCGTACCGCCAGCGACGGCGGCCCGTCGGAAACCGCGTACAGTTTCATCACCATTCTTCTAGAACGTACAATAGTACTTCATTTAATATTATCCCGCTATAATATGAGATGCACCTGCGATTGTTTCAAACCCGAATAATTTATTAACAGTATTTATTGTTTCTAATGTTAGTAGGTATTTTGAATTGATTAGTTAAACGCCTTATTCAATAACAAAGCATATCTTAATAAACCTTTCACAATTGACAGACTTATGTGTTTTGGTTTACTGTGACAACGATCCCTACACAAATAAAGAAAATTGGTATGTAAATCGTTTCTTTGTCTTACTATTCGCAAAAATTTCGTCCTTCCTACTAACTTGAGTCCTTTAAAAGAAGCGTGAAAAAGCATTTGTGTAGGCCACGGAACACAGAAAGAGGTCTTTCTGTGTTCTGTGGTGTAGGCAAAACGAGGATGGTTAGTGTGGCAGTCCACTGTGCATCAGCTGACCTTACATCTGGATCTGGATATAAACACCCCTGGTTCCAGTCTAAGATCCGAAGATTATTATACAAGATGATTGAACAAGTAAGTAGGGGTAAAGTACCTTGTTTTATTTTATTCAATTTAGGTAGATAACGGTGTCAATTCTGGCACGATTCTCTAAACTTAAAACAAAATTTAAGATCAGTATTTACTCCTTTTCATTCTGTATAGTGAATGACAAGGTTACACTGTTAACAAAAAGTTAATATGACTTTGTAATCCAATCCCGGAACTTAATTAGAATAAAAACAAGTCAAGAGCGAGTCGGGCGCTCAGGCTATTTGGGTTCCGTAAAATCATTTCTTTGTTTTCGTCAAAACTCATAATAGTTATTTTCAACACACTTCATCAAAAAATGCATTTTCAACACATCTGCAAAAAATGCATTTACAAAGGTTGTTTAAATTGTTATGTTTTTATTTATTTTTAAGCATTTAACTGCTAGATGTTTAAATCTAAAGAAAAGTTTACTAGAAAAAAATCAACGCGGACCAGGCAGCGGACGGGACTCGAACTCGCACCCTTCGCAATCCAGGCGATGCGATCTCACAAAGCGAAGAGATGGCGCTGCCTTGCAGCTTAAGGCTAGGAAAATTTCGACGCGGCGAATAGGGTCGTGGTAGCATAATGGTCAGTTGTATATATTGTTCAAAAATTCAAAATTACGGACCATACGGCGGAGCGTGCGGTTACACCGGGATGGTGAAAGAATTCTAACGATACCACACACAATAAATCGGCTCAGGCGTTTAGAAGTTATGGTGGGATAGAGAAATTGTACATACATACATGAATCCTGAATACAACTGTACCCTTAGCACGAACCAATCTCGAATTCGTAACGTTTGCGAGTCCGAAATGTCATTGTCAAATGTGTACTAATTTTTAGTTCTCCTTACGTACTTTCTGGCGCTGCTGTTCGCGTTTCCATACAAAATTTGACATTGACATTTCGCACTCGCAAACTATTCGAATTCGATAATGGTTCGTGCTAGGTGTACTGCTCTTGAAACAAAATCGCGAAAATACTGGAAAAGTCGAGATTTTACCTGAACACTGCAGGTCGCTCATTCTAATATGAGCCTTATGCACTGTGGCGTAAGGGAGAAAGTGCAACGACATCTGCACTTGTTTACAACCTATGCACGTTACCTTCGTATAAGTAGGTACTACGAAATCGCAGGTGCTAGTTAACTCTCAATTTATCGGGACTTTTCTAGAATGCGTCGGTCGATTGGCGTATATAAGCGCGATCGGCGCCGCGCAGCTAGGGTTACCATCCGTCCGGATTTATCCTTTTGTCAGGACTTTGTCCGGCTTTTTGTAATTATATGGAATATGAGTAAAACTACTTATTAAGTTATATCAAATAATCTTTATTAAGTTCTCATTAATTTAAAACAAAATATAAATCATCTTTAAAAATCAACAAAGAGACCCCCCTCCTGATGCGAGCGTCTGCTACCATTCGTATAATATCAGTGTAACTAAGTGGGAGATGTTTGCATTTTGTGACTAAAATGTCCGGACTTTTATCGAAATGTTCGGCTTTTTGTCAGGACTTCAAAATTTTAAATAGTAACCCTACGCGCAGCAGACAGTTTTTGGTTTCAAAGCGAAAACAGTTGAGTTTCAACAGCGATTTCGGAACGAATTAAAAGGCGATCTGTGTGGTGAATAAAGTACCGTCACTAAACTGGCATATAATTTCGAACCCCATCTCGACATGTAACAATACACTCTTTTTTTGGGCAGTCGTGTAAAAATAATATTAAACTCCATTTCAACGTGCTCTATGACAAAGATGTGTCACATGCTGAGATGAAAAAGAAAAGAAAATTGTCTTCTTTTCATATCCATATGTAAATTATTTTATTGAATTTTTAATTAAATAGTAGGCTCCGGGCAAGTCTTCTAGATTAAAATTTCGGTTATGCAACTTAGTCCGTAAACGATCAAAAGACTCGTGATATATGGAAAGACAGACGACAGACAGACAGCAGAGTGACAGAAATAGGGTTCCGTTTTTACCGTTTGGGTACGGAACCCTACCCTAACATAAAACTAAAAAAACTGATTTAAAATAAGGCATTTTCTTCAAGACTTCTATTGTAGCGTGTAACTTAAATATGTAAATCACCCTAAAATATTTTGCCATAAGTTACTTACAGATAAATAAATATACTGGGCAATGCAATAATAAATGATGTGTGTAGGCAAATAACAATTAATCACATAGATATACCAATACAAATAATCACAATAAAAAGTTATATGGCAAGTAAATAATCAAAGGTAAATACTTACACGTTTTTCGATTTAAATGGAACTAATTATTATAGTATGATATCTGTACAATAATAGCAGACCACCGCGATGGGCACAATAGTAGCGTACGTGTGCATACACATGAATGAAATGTAAAACTGACAACTAGTACGTACCTGGTAAAACAGGCACCGATTTCTTCCTTTCACTTGCTTTGCCTTGAGCGCTATGTCATGGCAGTCTGTGTTGTTTAAGTGACTAACCGTCGATTACTATTAACCTGATAATAGTTATAAATTAGAGCAGTAGTAGCCATCCCAAACTTTCTATTAATTTATACCCGCTATTTATATCACCCGCCGCGCCGAAAATTAGGAATTTAATTTTCCTACAATCAGGGAAAATTGAGAATACGGTTTACTACGAGTGAATTTTTAAGAATTTTCAGAATATCAGCTGCATGCAATACAGTAGTTATTTAATTTTGTTTAAAACCCATTTTTTTCTTTAGTTTAATTAATCACTTTAATTAAAATTAAATTGTTACTTAAATATTCATCATCATCAGCCTATCCACCTAGCCACCATCAGCTCAAGCCCCTATCTATGTATGGCATAGGGAGATTGGGGTTTTGGCCGTGTTGTGACCACCACGCGGGCTCTGTGCGGTTGGTGCAAAAGACTGCAGATGCAACCGGGACCAAAGGCTTATTATGCCTTATAAATAAATAAATAGCTTAAAATTCGTATCCAATACTTAAGTAAATACCCATTCTATTTTATACGTAAAATGTGTACTGACTTTTAAATCTCGTTACGTTCATTGTGGCGCTGCTATTCAAGTTTCTATTCAAAATGTGACACTTAGCACGAACCATTATTGAATTCAAGTACTTAGTTTGCGAGTGCGAAATGTTATTGTCAAATGTGTACTGATTTTGCTGTTCAAGATACCATACTGCAGCACAATGACATTTCGCACTCGCAAACTACTCGAATTCGATATTGGTTCGTGCTAGGGGTACCCCTAGCACGAACCAATATCGAATTCGAATAGTTTGTGAGTCCGAAATGTCATTGTCAAATGTGTACTGATTTTTAGTTCTCGTTATGTACTTTATGCCGCTGCTGTTCAAGTTTCCATATAAAATATGACATTATTATTTCGGTTTGCAAACTATTCGAATTCGATAATGGTTCGTGCTAGGGGTTCAGGTACCCCAAGCACGAACAAATCTTGTAATGGGATGTTTGGGTGGCTGGTATACCTCGCGTCACAGAGATGACATATCGTATATATGTTATGGGCTAAGTGATTAATAGGGCATTATTCATAATGCCCGGGCAATATTTATAATGCCCAATACGAGCGGGCAATATGAATAATGCCCAATAAGAGCGGGCAATCTGATTATAACCAATCAATTTATCACATTGCCCGGGCATTATGAATAATGCCCATTGCCTATTGGGCAGAGTGATGTAAAACATGTTTAATACTTTCAAATGAATACTTAGTTAGATAGACCGAGCATTACAAGTAATGAAATCAATTATCGGATAGACTATACTCTAAGTGTGTTCCGCGGAACCCTAGGGTTCCGTGATACCTCTGTCGGGGTTCCGCAAGAATTTAGAAATAAAAAAATCAAAACACCTCTCTCTGGTCGCTCCGCGGCTGTGCGGACTCCGCGGCCGCGCGGAGACAAAACGCTATGAATGTTATTTATTTATTTATTTGTATTTGTATAAGCTTGTGTTACATTAGCTGGTACAATATCTCATAAGTTTGGTCTCAACAATTTTATACTTGTACAACGCGTTCGCTCTAAGTTTGCCGGTCTGTGGAATGCGCGTACCCTCCCCCACGTGACAACAAAACTTATAATGTGTCATAGTTTTACCCAAATATCTAACGTACACAATTTTTATTGTTACAATTAAATAAAAAATTTCGAACGTCATACACTCATACCTATCGCCAGCGGCAAACTTAAAACGAGCGGGTAGTATACTTGTAAGCGCTCAGTCTCTTTGATAAAAGCCGCCTCTGAATTAGACGCTATAGTTGTCAACTAGCGACTTTCGTCTCTAACTTCAAAGGATAAAGTCGATATTGTTTACAACGCTATTTTTAAATTTCTGTTTTTATTTTTGCTTTTTGTTTATCAAAGGTGCCGACTCGAGTATTTTCGAGAATATTTGAGATCGAGTCTAGGACTAAGTATAAAAGCGGCGATCGCGCGTTGGCGTCGTCAGTTGATGATTAGCGTTCGGAGCGATAAGTTACTACCTACTTACAAGCTCGCTAGCGAGAAACTGGTGTTCATTGTTTTACTGCCTGCTGTATTCTGTTGTCTCAGTTTTATACATTTCTTCCCTGTAGGTTCTAAATTTAGTCTCTTATACGCAGTAACGATTGTGCATTATTTAAACCCCACTATCCTGACTTGTAACATTATAAATAAAGAAGAATGGAACGTTGGCTTAAAGGTGTTAAACGTGTTCCAACAACATCTTCTAATGACGCTGAATGTTCAAAAGCAATGCGCGCGGAGAATTTAGCAATCACCGATCCAGAAGATGATGCCACGAGTGCCACGACGTCAAGCTCGACGGTTTCAAAGACGAAAAAAAAGGAAGTATGATGAATCTTATATCAGTTTCGGATTTGTTGATTCCAACGGCTCACCTCTCTGCATGCTCTGTAGTAAACTGCTTCCTAATAGTTCCATGGCACCTGCCAAATTGCGTCGACATTTAGAAACCGTACACCCCGAGACTAAAGACAAGAATAAAGAATTTTTTGTTCGCAAAAAAGATCAGTTATTAGAAAGTCAAAAAAATATGATGCATGTAACACAAACTACCAACGAAAAGGCCACGGAGGCATCATACTTAGTTAGCTATCGCATTGCACAAGCAGGTGAAGCGCACACTATCGCTGAGAAATTAATAAAACCATGTGTATTAGACATAACAAAATGTATGCTTGATGAAAAATCTGCAAAGCATCTTTCTACTGTTCCGCTATCAAACGATACTGTTTCACGACGAATCCATGATCTGGCAAGCTACGTCAAACAAGAACTAGTTACACGTCTACAAAATACACGATTCGCTTTGCAAATGGACGAGTCGACTGATGTCGCTGGTTTGGCTATCCTGCTGGTTATTGTGAGATATCCATATAAAAGTTCTTTTGAAGAAGACATGCTTATGTGTTCATCGCTGCTTACAAACACTACCGGGGAAGAAATTTTTAATAAAATAAATATATTTTTTGAAGAACATAATCTCAGTTGGAACAATTGCATTGACATTTGTACAGATGGGGCCAAGGCGATGACAGGTAAAACAGCAGGAGCAGTGTCACGAATGAAAAATAAAGCGCCTAATTGTAGTTCCAGTCATTGTATTCTGCATAGACAAGCACTTGCGATGAAGCAAATGCCGTCTAATCTAAAATTAGTTATGGATGAAGCGGTAAAAATAATTAATTTTATCAAATCACGACCACTACAATCCCGATTGTTCTCATTATTGTGTGAAGATTATGGCAGCAAACATAAAACACTGCTGCTCCATACAGAAGTGCGATGGCTGTCTCGGGGAAAAACTTTAACAAGGCTATTTGAACTTAGAGCCGAGTTACAAATGTTTCTTTCAGCAGATACTTCTTTTAATTTGAAGGACCGTTTGTATGATAAAACTTGGTTGTTCCGATTGTCTTTTATGGCGGATATCTTTCAAAAACTTAACGAATTAAATTTATCATTGCAAGGTAAACAGACAACAGTGTTTCAGGCCTATAATAAAATAACTACTTTTAAAAGAAAATTAGATTTTTGGATCATTTGCATTGGTAAGAAAGAAATAGAAAGTTTTACGTTACTCACTGAGTTTGTTAGCGAAAACGACTCAGAAATGTTTGAAGATAATGTGTTTGAAGAATTGGTCCAATATCTCAGTTCGATGCGCGCATCTTTTGAAAAGTATTTTCCCGAAGAACACAATACAAAAATTAAAGTGAACTCCTGGATTCATAATCCTTTTTTACCCAACTTGGAAAAGCCTGAAAACATGTCAAATGAGATATATGAATCTCTTTTAGAAATGTCATCAGACACAAGTATGGAGTCATTGTTCAAAACGACGCCTCTTAATGATTTTTGGTGCAGAATCCAAGATGAATATGCAATGCTTGGCCAAATGGCTCTGGATATTCTTCTCCCGTTCCCAACTACATATTTGTGCGAAACAGGATTCTCTACCTACGCAGCCACGAAAACAAAATATCGCAATAGACTGGACGCCGAAGCTGATATGAGACTCCAACTTTCTTCCATCAAACCTGATATCAAGCAATTGATGAAAAATAAAAAACAGTTTCATACCTCCCACTAGTTAGATTTTTTCTTTTTTAATGTTTTCTATTATTGTCCTTACCAAGTGGTGAAGTAAATAATAATTAGTAACGGATACATTGTACTTTTATTATGCTGATTAATATAGAATACACTTATAAAAATAATTGTTTTATTGTAGGGTTCCATCAAGTATTTTGCTTCCCAAAAGGGTTCCGTCATTTAAAAAGTTTGAGAACCACTGGGATAGAGTAATAATGAAAACATGTTTTATATGTATTTATTTTTAAAATTTAACTAATCTACATCATCAGGGCTACATTTAGAAACTATAGTCTATAGTCGTTTCGCATTGAAACGACTATATTTTTATTGAAATATTCATTAAATCTGTTAAATGTCCAGAATTTATGGTTCCCTATTATTTAGGGTGCAAGGAATAGGGAAGTAAGAACCAGTACTTCTGCCTTATCTCTGGCGCTGCGGGAATAGTAGCCCCTCCGCCTTTGCGTGACAAAGTCACAAGCATCACTCCCCTTCACACCTGGCGGTCCGGGGGCTGCTCTCCCTCCGCGCCTCCGGACTCTAAAAAACACTCTAGAGGTAGGTCAGACCAAGACCACGGCGGCCTGTCGGGGTTGACTCTGAATTAATAAAGACTGTTGTAAAGCCACATTTACTTTTTTTTCTAAGTGTTGAGCCCATACTATTTTTTATTTACCAATATCTCAAAACAAATACACAATGGCAAGACATCTGTCATTTTGACAATAGTACCAACGTTTTGAATTTATTCATACTGCCCGGTCCAAGGGATAAATTCAAGCTTTCTAAACACTGACTTATTATATAGACCACGAGCCGTCCGGCATTATTAATAACGGCCGTGCAATGTGATAAATAGGTGAGTTTAGATTGTAATTAATCACTTGGCCCGATATGGCTGGGCATTATTCATACTGCCCTGGCATTATGAATACTGCCCGCATTAAT